CCAATAAAATTAGGGAAAACATTCTTTCAAGAATTAAATAAATTGGTCACCAAATTTATATGGCAAAGGAAAAAACCCAGGATTAAATTAAAACTCTTGCAAGATATGAAAGATAAAGGGGGATTGGCGTTACCAGAGTGGGAAATATACTACCAAGCATCGAGCTTAACTTGGCTAAAAGATTGGATGGATTTGAAAAGTACTAGAGTTTTAACAATAGAAGGACATGACTTGCAAGCAGGGTGGCATGCTTTCCTATGGGACGAAAAATATAAAATACACAAATACTTTCAAAGACACATAGTTAGGAATGCATTGCTACAGACTTGGGAAAAAATAAAACAAAAACATTATATAAGAATTCCAATGTGGTTATCCCCAACAGAAGCTCTGAAACACCCAAACCTACTGGATATAAATAAGATAATTAGATACAAGGAATTAGTAAATGAACAGGGAAATCTGAAAACATGAAAAAATCCTCTAGAGCAGACATGTCAAACTCGTGACGTCATGTGACATCGCGCAACGTATCGGGACTGTTTTGCCATTGCTGGCAATGGGGTGGGAGTGGCTTCTGTGTGACGCATCCAGCCCATGGGCTGGCAGTTTGACACCCTGCTCTAGAGAGTTATAATCAGAAACACGTTATTTGAAATCAGCTGTTTATCAGAAATTAGAATTCCTGCTTTTCCCTGAAGATAAGAAGTTTTCAGAGAGGGAAGGAGGTGTGTACTATTGAATGGAAAGAAAAATGTTCAGCATGTACCATTTCTTCATCTTACCATTTATGTTGCTGACTTCAGTTTTCAGCTGATAGTGTACTATCATCTACAAATTTGTCTTTGTTGATTTTCAGTGTAACAGCTTTCAGAGAAATAGAAGCCTGTTGAAACAAACTCAGCAAATTATCTTAAAACAACTTAAGAGCAAATATAATTATCATAAATAATATGTTTCATTTACCGAACTTTTTATTTTGTGTTTTTACAAATCAATTGTAAACTTGATTCTGACGTACTGGATAATATTCTACTAAATAAATTAGCAGTGGGTGTCATTGGAAGGAACAGAGATTAATCTCTTCAAGTGTTGCAATAATGTGATAATATTAACAGAAAAGATAGGCTGAAACATTTTCAGCCTTTTTGTTTCAGGCTGAAAGGGATGGAAGAAGGAGGCCTCAGAAAGGCATAAACAGATTTTCAGTTGTTTACTGTTTTACCTTCTGGGTATTCAGTGCTCACAGAATCTAGATGATTTATCCTAGACATACTAGATTTTGTACCAAACTCTCCACTCGTTTCCCCTCCAGTTATCTCAGAACTCCATCTTTTGACATTCTCGTCTTTCATCTGCTCTTTGGAAAGTTGCACTCCAAAGCATGCACTGGAGGAAGTTCTTCCTCAAATAGGGTTTGTGTGTAATGATTAAAATTTATAATGTAAACTTAGACATTTCATTCAATTAGTAGTGTCATAAAATACTGTTAATATTGCTTCATATTATGCTGAAAGGTACTTAGCTTTCTTTGTAAAGTGACATGCTTTATTATTTTTTATTTGGTTGGCAAGAAATGTTTTTCAAAATGAAATGTGTGTATGCTATCCAATTGTGGAGGAACAGTATCTTTAATGGGTTTCAGAGAAGGTTGGAAAGAGGAGCTGGATCTTGGCTTATTATTCTAGACTGATTAAAATCAGATCACTATCTCTGTTGTTCAGTTCAGAGAATTGGGTTCAGATCCAAAATTGTCAAAGGAAGAAAGGTGGGAGAATGTAATTCTAGTGATACTATAGAATCCTTCACTATCTTTGTTGCTATCATCCATGGTATACTTTTAGAGTATTTGAGGTAGCTGGGCATTGGAAGTACTATTTTATTCTGCTTTTGGAAAATGAAGATTATTTGTTTAATTCACAGGGGGAGGGGGTGTTCCAAAAGTTGCATCTTGTGTTACATGTAATTTAATACCTATATTAACTCAGCAGGAAATGATCATGTATAAGTTTGAAGAACTTATTCTTCCTGAAAGCTCAGAATTGAATATCTCAGCAGCTTCTATATATCTCCTGACTATTAAGGACTTGATTGGGGAATAGAAGTTGAAGCTGATTTGGGACAAGACAAATTGTTAAGGTTGATTCTGATAGATGAACTTCAGTGAATAGGCTTGTTCTGCATGGGTTGCATGGCCCTAAAAGGAACAGGTTCAGAGTTCAAGGGTCCTCCTGGATTGATGCTAGACATGTAAAAAAAGGTCCACTAAGTGGACCTTTTTCAGCTTATGTTGGGATTTTGGTACCCTTGTCTGAAGCAGAAACCAGACAACAATTCAGTGTAAGAGATCTATATGTAGGGTTGGAATTGTCCTTGAAAATGACTTGGAAATTACAATTGACTGATAATGCAGTAGCATAGGTAATAAATATTATTTCTGGGAGATATAAGTTTAATTCTGATTGAAACAGTTACCCAGATTGGTACTAGCATTTAGAGCCTGATTCAGTATGCTCATCTTAGTGTCCAAGGCCATATGCATCACTGTTTACTCTTGTACAGTTTATCCCAGACCTTTTGCAACCCTGATCCCAGAATGTATCCACCATTGATTTAAAAACATCTAACATTTCTATTGCAGAACCTTTATTGTAGAACAAACTTTCATTGGAATTGAGGCATTAATATAGTGCAGGAAGACTGATCTTTTTAGCCAGAATGTTTAAGCTGTTGATAGTATATAGCAAGTTAATTGTGATGTTAATAGACACCAAAGCCATTGAGGATTGGGGGACTTACGTATTTGCTAAATGAAAAGAAACTGGGAACTAGTGACATAGAAATGGGATAGTTGGATTCTTTTTAATGTGCTAATGGTAAGTGTCACAAGAATTAACAGTATTATTCTGCATTAGACATGAAAGCCAGCTGGGTAGCTTTGGGCCAGTCACCTCTCAGTGCAACTCATCTCACAGGATTGTTGTTTTGTAGGGCAAGTAGAAGGAAAAAGGAGTATTTAGATATGTTCGTCACCTTGAGTTATTTATAAAGTAATAAAGACAATCAAATAAATAACAGTAACTGTGAGTTATTTCATATATTCTAGGTTGTTCTTGCTAATCAGAATAGCCACAGTTCCTTTTCCGAATAACAGTTCAGATTTGTTTTATATAAAATTACAAAGTATCTGAGAATTATATTTAACATTTGAGGTATATTGAAGTGGTCTGTCCTACTAAGTCATGTGTAATTTAATAAAAGTGAAATTCCTAGAGGTATTGAGCATATTTTGATTTGTTCCAGTAGCCGGATCGAACTGGGTGATGTGACGCCACACAACATTAAGCAGTTGAAGAGGTTAAATCAAGTCATCTTTCCTGTCAGCTACAATGACAAGTTCTACAAGGATGTGTTAGAGGTCGGCGAGCTTGCCAAACTGGGTATAAGTTCTTGATCTTTATTTAGTGGGTTGGAGCTAAATCATCTAATGCTATGTATGTTATTGAACATATTTTTCATGTATTTGTTTAATTGTATTTGACACAATATTGGTCCATGTGATATTTTACATTTTTGAACTGTTTTCCCAATCTTTGACTGGAATCTGTATTTCCTCTAACCTAAGACTATTATTCCATGTCCTGCACACTGGAACAATTAGATAACATATCATATCCTTATCCTGTCTTTTTCAATACCTCTTCAGGTACTCTTTTGAAGCCATAGCGAGTAATTAGCTTTCATCCAAGCCTTTACAGTCTCTAAGGTAGACTACTGCAATATACTCTCGGTTGCTATAATTGAGTATTTCATCTAACATTGAAAACATCATTCCATTTTTAGCTTTTCATCACAGATTTTTGATTGATTTTTAGTATATTAAACTGAAAACTTATGAATCAGGGGTTCATGAGTCCTAGTCCTATCTTAACTTGGGTGACTTTAGGCCAGTGGCTGTCTCTCAGCTCTATGAAGGAGGCAAGGGCGAATCACTAATGAAATCTTGCCTTCTTCAGGGACTTTGCCCAGGCATTAATTCACCTGCCATCAACACTGGGTCAAAGAAACACACATACACACACAAATATCTATCTGTATCTATTTTTGGAAATGTCTTTCCATTGTCCCATTGATAATACCACTTTGTTCTACGTTGATGGTCTTGAATGCTCCTTTACAAAATGTATTTTCTGCACATAAAAAGCTAGTAATCTGCTTGTTTTTGATGTCCAGAGTTAATTTTTTTCCTCAAAATAACTGTGCAACCTTTCTAACCAGCCTGTTTTATTGAGTTTTAGGCCTTGTTTGAATTGATTCAATTCAAAATTTGAATTGACTTAAAATATATTATATGAAAATTTAAAAAGTCTTGTATCTTATTCATGCACCTTTTTTCAGTATCTGTTGCAAAGAATAAAGGAATGATGTATATATATGAAACTGAAGTAAATATGCTTTCTTTCTGTTCCCATTTCTTTTTGATAGCCTATTTCAATGATATTGCTGTGGGCGCAGTGTGCTGTAGAGTAGATCATTCTCAGAATCAGAAAAGATTGTACATCATGACACTTGGATGTCTGGCCCCTTACCGACGGTTAGGAATAGGTAAGGCTCTAGCAAATACTCAGTGGCCTTTATTTGACTCTTGAGCTTTAAAGTGTACTTATTTCTGTACTCATTCCAAAAATGAAATAGTACAAGATGCTGGTGTACAATGAAAAGCCAAACTTCATATATCATATGAAGAATAAGTTTTTAGAATGGAAGCAGTTACTTATTAGGGTTATTTATCAAACTATTAACTTGCAGTTAATAAATTCAATAATTTAACATACTTGATGCTATTTTCTAAAAGCATCCTTATTTTTTTCTTTAAATAATGAGCCCAATCTCAAATATTGGAGTTGAGATTCTGATTTCAGAAGCAGTGTTGCTGGTCTTGGGATATGATCTTACAAAATTTGAAAAAGACTAGAAATAACATGATTTTCTTTTGTACTTTCTCAATTCTTTTTCAGGAACTAAAATGTTGAATCATGTGTTAAACATCTGTGAAAAAGATGGCACCTTTGATAATATCTATCTGTAAGTAAATACTGTTGATTTATTCAATATAAGCATTGGGGGATTTAATTATTTGTATTCATTTTTAATTCTACTTAGTACTGAGAGAAGCATAAAAAATCAAATGTTCAAAGAAGAATAAGCTTAGATCAAGAATTGACCAACTTTTTCTGTAAAGGGACAGATCCCATTCTCCTCTATAGGTGCAGCTGGCAGGTCTGTAGGCCCAGGAGTACTGTAGCCATTGGTCAGTGTAGGCATTGTTCCAGTCTTCTTCCACCTCTATTGTCAACATGACCCACTTATACATTGATTACCTATTATTTTGATTACCATTTCTATCTGTGATCTTTCCATAGAAATAGCTGATGTCATTGGAATGAAGAGTGCAACAGACAATTCATCTTTAATATTCTTAGAGTAAGAATAGTAATGGTTGGTTTCGTTATTAAAGCTGAAAAGAGTACTGCTTCTATGGGAATTCTAAACTGTAGTTTGAAAATTTAGGAGAGGATAAGGAGAGCCTTTGTCAGTTTGGTCATGTTTCGGAATCAAAGAATGGGGTGGATTGAGCCTAACTGTGATAAGCTTCCTTTGCAGGCTTACAGATAATCCTTGACGTACAACCAGAATGGTGATGAGGCATGCCTATCCGGGTTGCAGGGCCAGGCCAGGACTGTGCTTTGCCTGAAAAAAAGAAAAAAGCAGCCCCAGAGCTGTGGCGTATCCCAGACCCCCTTGTGCTGTGCTCGTGGGCTGGACTTGGGGCAAAAAGCAAAATGCAGCCCCTGAACCCCTTTTGCTATGCATAGCTCTGGGACTTCTTTTTGCTTTGCTTTGCTTTTTTTCACAGCACAAAGGCCAGCCCCAGCCTGGCCCAGAAGCATGGCGCAAAGGGGCTTTTTGGCAAGTTGCATCTCTGGGGCTGTAAAAAGCCCAGCCCAGCCCAGCCCCAGCCACTTCAGCAGTCCGGCTGGGTGTGTGTCACCTGCGAGAGCAAAAAGACAAAGACCAGCTAGGGGAAACAAAGCAGGAACTTTTCTCCTCTACTGCTGGACCGAGGTTGTTATCTGATCATTATTCTTCCAAAATTGCCATTGCAGACATGAAACTGCCAAAAAGATCTACTTTTTTGTTATGTGGTTTTAGTGTTGGGGAAAAAAGCTTTTTACCCATTACTTTCACCAGAGTATTGGCATAACTTGTTTGGTAACACCCATTTTCTATGTCTTCCTTTTCATTTGTTTTTCTGATGCCTAAATGTATACTTTGCTAATATGTGTAACCAAATTCCAGTATATTGTTTCTTTTTCTGTCCTAGGCATGTTCAGATTAGCAATGAGTCAGCAATTGATTTCTACCGAAAATTTGGATTTGAGATCATTGAAACAAAGAAGAACTACTACAAAAGGATAGAACCAGCAGATGCGCATGTGCTGCAGAAAAGCCTCAAAGCCCCCTGTCTTGGCCAGAACACAGATATGCAAAAATCTGACAACTGAACAAAACCCAGGAAACCCTTTCTTGCACTTTCTTGTCACCAAATAAGGAAAGAAGGCCTGGAGTTTTGGTTTTTTGTTTCCTTTTTCCTAATACGTGCTGTACCCTGTCCAACAAATTAATAACTTCCTAAGGATTGTCAAATTGTGTGTTTTTATTTTATATCTCCTCTTTGCATTCTTTGGGATGGAAATAGTACTCAGTTTTAATGGGGGAGGGGAGGGGAAAGGAGGCTTCATATGGTCTTCCAAAGGTCAAAAATTTCTTCAGCATGTCTGATCCTTCTGCTTTTCTGATGAGGGACAAAGTTTAAGCAATACCTTGCATCAGTGCCATATTGCTTTTCCAATTTGGAGGTGATTTCTGTCTAGTTCTGAATTTGATTTAGCAGGTTTGGCCTTGTTGATCTTTGGAATATACACAGACATCAGTCTTATGGGTAGTTTATTTGTACTAAGTTTGGCCAGCTGATGTCATGTTCCTTGACAGATGTAGGTGACAATCCAAATGGGTTATACCATCTTTCCCTCTTCCTCTGATTATATACATTTCATGGGGAAAGGAGAACATGCCTTGGCTCTGGCACAGTGGAGGAACAAAACATTTAATATTGTTAAAGGTGACTATTTAAAAAAATAAGCTTTGTTCTGAAAACGGTTCAGCTGGTTTGCTGAAATTAATTACTCAAGACAGAAGATGGTTAAAACTGTATTTTTCTTACACATTTAAAGACATGACTGTCATCTTTAAAAAAGGAGTGTTGTAGAACACCAAGAAGCATGGCTTATTGGGAGAGCCTTATAAAGATTCAGCAAATACCTGGCTTTCTCCTAACAACATATGAGAACTGTAGCCTATTTTGCTGAGCTCTTGCTTTGTATTTTGTTATGCTCTTGTTTGCAACTTCAGTTTGAGCTTCTGGCATTCAGTACTAAAATGTCAGATTCAGTTTATTCTTTTCATTTGGGGAAATGTAGCCAGTTGCAGTGGGAAGATTCTACCCTATCACTTAAATCAATATTAAAATGTATTTCTTTTCTGTTTTTGAACCTGAGCTGTATTTTCCATTTTTCTGCTTTGAAAAAGAATTTTTTGGGATTGTGTGGTTATAGTATAATCTTGCTATTGGATGTTTTAATTTCATTGTGATGAATTGGAAGCAAAGGAAACCAAAATTGGGAAAATTCAAGTAAGTTGCATTATGAAGCATTTAACTGCAAAGGAACTGGAAACACTAGAATCTTCATCATTCCTTAACAATCCTAGCAGAAGATCCTGAATAAGTATTGGATCCATACCTTACAAACAAACTTTCTCCAAGCTACATAATTTCAATTAAAACAAATATTAAGCTTCTCCTGTAGAGGCCTTGAATAGGAAAGATTTTCATACTAAAAATCTTTTGGTCATAGTTTGCAAAGTTTTATATTTTAGTTTCTCAGAAATCGTCTTCCTTTTACAAAGATGTTGAAGTGCATCTTGAGCTTATGTGCCAGCACCTCTTCCCTTATTAGTGGTAGATAAGGCAAATAGTTTGAAGAAGGTTGGAGACCTAAATTAGTATTAGTTCATAACTGCCTTCTGGTGCTAAGGAAAAGGTAGATCCCTATTCCAGAATCAAAAGTTGAGATTTGTAATGGTTCTCTTGATCTATGAATTGCTTGTTTTTCAGGCAGTTTTCCTTTGTGATTTCAAGAAAATCCAGTTTTTAAAACATGTTTTCAGTCACTGTCATTCTGTAAATGTATTTTTCAGTATTTCTTGGAAGTTTCCATTTTACAGTAAATGTGCTGTAGAAGCTAAAAGAAATCAGAAAATGAAGTTATACTTCAGTGACTCTTAGTTCTGCCAATCATTGGCTATTCCTTACATAGAAAAACAGAAGATTTCCTAGTTCCCTGGACTGTTTTCTGGTTGCCTAACTATAGCAAAGAGCAGCAGATTGCTTAGTTATCTTGGTATGCTGCAGAAATTTGCCAATTATGTGAAATGCCTTGCCTTTGAAATAATCAAATGTGGGAGGATCTAAAATAGATGCTTTTTAATACCTCACAAGGTAAGTAGGAAATTTTCCACTCTTGCCTTTCAGCATATGTACAGTTATACTAATCGGTTGGGGAATACTGTTCAATCATCTTCACTTCTATTTAGAAGTTTGTAAGGAATATATGTGACATTAATTTATAGCTATAGCTGGATGATTTTAAAGGAGTTTAGCACAAAATAGTTTCTCATAGATAGCACAACTGAAAGTGAACTTCATAAAAATACATTTTGATATATAGATAATCATGGCATGCAAGAAGGAAGAAAGCATATGTACATGTCAGGAAAGAGGGAATATTTTTGTATAGATAAAAGTATTTGGTTAATTATGTCCATTAAAGATGACGTGCTACCAGTATTACAGCCTAAATAAATTCTAGCTATGTTTTAATTAACTTGGCCCTGTGATACCTACGAAATTTGAACAATCCACCCACTTTACATGGGTCACTTTTCATTTGAATTGCAGGATTTCTCTAAAACATTTTCCAGTCCAGTTTCTTGATTATAAATTTGGATTAATTTATTTGTCATATAAAAAGATTTTGGCCTTAGAGGAATTCTGTTGTCTTCTCCACAATGACCATAAAAGCTTTTATTTTTCAAGATGTCTTAATGGCCCTTTAAAATTATACTTTGAGCACAGGAGATGTTAGTCTGGGAAAGGCCCTGCCCTGTAGTATCAGAAGGCAGTCTTCCTTGTCATAGTCTCTCTGCAACATATGTCCCTTTTTCTTGTTTACTGTGTCAGGCTTCAAGATTTATAAGCACAATATTCAAACTACAGAATTAAATTGCTGTCTGCAAATGGATATTTCTTCTTTCTCTTGTGCCTCGCCTACCAAGGTTCACCAAGAAGGCCCAGCAGAACGGTCTTCACATCTTTAGGTCCTTCTGTGGAAAAGAACCCTCCAAGCTGAAAGAACCAATAGTGATTTATCCCAGTCTGTTCCATTTGGGCTCACTCTCCTGATTCAATAATTCCAGCCTTGGGATTGACTGTAGGAACAAAGTTTTACGTGTTTTGGAATTCTCTTTAAACTTAAGCATTGCCCTTCCCAATTTCTTTCCAGCCCCTGCAAACCTTTGTAGAGTGCTAATTTTAGATCAGATTTGGATCTGATTGCATGTTAACGTGCTCCATCAGACACATATAAGTGGCAATCAGCAAACATGACAGAGAAGAGCACTAATGCCTATCATACAAAATCAGTATCAGCAGATCCTTGAACCTTACCATAATCACCAAGGCCAGATAAATAAAAAGAAATTGCCAGTGCTACTATGCAATCATCACCTGCCAGCTTTCATGACAAAACAGGAAGAATGGAGCTCCAGCTCTTGATATTTAGGATCTTGTGTTTACAATTTAAAAGGAATGTCAGCCTTTACATAATTCAGTCAGAAGCAATACTTGAGGATACTACACTATGTCTTTTCTGGAAATAGTCAATGAAAACTGCATTCCAACTATGGAGGTGTATCATTCCCTAAGATAAGCAACTTCGACTTCACGTTTAATCTATGGGTGGCTTCAGAATGTCAATTTTTGCTACATACACTAAATTTCTAATTCAGAGAAAGAAAGGTCACTCTAATGTGCCATATTACTGTTACTAGGAAAATTCAGGCATTTCAGAAGATTAAATCGCTTGGTGAAAGATGTTTTCAAACTATGAATGAATTGCATTGTCCATAGATCTTAGGTAATGCTTTTATACACAGGAACAAGTTTATTTTTGAACATTAAAAACAAACTCCCCTGAAGTTTATTTTTAAATTTTATTACACATTATTAGGCAGCATAAATTAAAATATGCATAACATCATTTCCCTCTCTACCTCCTGATTCTCTACTGCAGTTTTCATTGTTTAAGGCAGGGGTTCCCAACCGGGGTGCAAGACGATATTCCAGAGGGTGCGAAAACGGGTTTTCAAAATTATAATGTACATGCATAATTTGTGGCCGTTATTTCAAACTTTTGTAAGGGGTGCGAGAATATATCAGAAGTGTTCTAGGTGTGCGGGGTATAGAAAAGGTTGGGAACCATTGGTTTAAGG